GTCTGTGAAGTCTTGCAAGCTGCTTTTTTTTTGGATTGAGCTCTTCGGGTTTGCGCGGGGGCAGAGGGCGAAGGGGCGAGCACCAGACATCAACAGTAACAGCATTTCACAAAGTGGCAACAGACGTATGTATGGGATTCCGCATCGCTCGCTCATAGTGAAGTGCAGCTTGTGATGTGCCTTGGTTGAGAGTGCTTTGGCTGGTTTATAGGCCTTGATGTCTGCATTGGTGGAGGGTGGCGACCCCTTCTCTTATAGGCCTTGGTGAATGCCCATCGCGAAGCTTACATCCATGGGAAGGGGTCGCCGCGCGAGGCGTGGAACTGCCCGTGAGAAGAGAAGCAGGCTTTTAACCCTGTTGGGGGCCGAAGAGTTGGATCTTCGTGCGCAGCAACATGTCGCCAAGAAGGTGCATTGCGACTGCCCCACCCTGACCCTCGCCCATGCGAAGAAGGGAAACGTCCTCGCACTCGGAACTCTCAAGGGTTCACGCCCATTTTGAGCCTCCGGAGTTTCAGAGCCTCGTGTCGGGACATCTCATTCAGAAGACTGCGTCATCTCTTCCTAACCTCAGCTGGTTGCCGGCGTCACCGGCTCGAAAGCGCAAGCAGCGGCCTCGCAAGTCCACTGCCGGTCATTCTTGCCCCAGAACCCTCAGGTTCGGTTCGTTAGTGGGTTTTGCCCGAAACAGGCGGGGGAGAGAACCACCAGACCGCACAGCCAGGACCTCTCCATGGGCGGCTGCGATCAAATCCCGGCTGCGGCGTGGCAGCAGCTCGTCGAGGGCGCCCAGTGCCCGAAGCTCGCGAAGGTGAACTTCTCCTGGCGCCTCGGCTTTCGAGCACCTTTTTGAAGCGTGTGCGGGGGCGCGGTGGGTTTGAGGTGGCCGGCACCAAGGCATTCAGTGGGGAGTTCCGATGCCCCCGAAAAACCAGAAGCAAAGCAAGGGTTTCAGCCCGAGGTGCTTCGGCAGCGAGTCCAAGGGCATCGAGGCTGCGGGCGGGCTCCTCGCCTTCCTCGGCCGCTGCCCCGAGCTGCAGGACGCGACCGCCCACCTTTGCACAAGACTGTCTTTGAAGTCTTGCAAGCTGCTTTTTTTTTGGATTGAGCTCTTCGGGTTTGCGCGGGGGCAGAGGGCGAAGGGGCGAGCACCAGACATCAACAGTTTTCACGAAGCAGCAACAGACCTTTGCATGGGATCCCGCATCGCTCGCTCATAGTGGAGTGCAGATTGTGATGTGTCTTGGTTGAGAGTGCTTTGGCTGGTTTAGGCCTTGGTGTCTGCATTGGTGGAGGGTGGCGACCCGACCCTTTGCCAGGTCCTGAGCCTAAAGGAATGCGACCAGATGCTGTGAACAACCTGACCGCACAGCCAGGAGCTCTTCATGTCCGAATGCTCTCAAATCCTGGCTGCGGCGTGGAGGCAGCTTGAGGGAGCCCATTGGCCGAGGCTCACCAAGGTGAACTTCGACCGGCGCCTCGGCTTTCGGGCACCTTTTTGGAGTAATTCGTGGACCCTCTCGTCGAGATGGTGGTAGGGGTGCCAGGGGGATGTGGGAGCGGTCCGAAACGTTGATGTGATAGACATCCAGCCGTTTCACAAGAAAACACCTGGTCTGAGAAGCTGCCTGAAGTAGAAGTAGCAGAAGCGTCCGAAATTCTTTCGGCACGGATTTCTGATCCAGCCCCGGCCCAGGTGCTTCGACGAAAATTCCAAGGGCGCCGATGGCGTGGCCGGGCTCCTCACCGCCCTGGCCCGCTGCCCTGAGCTGAAGGACGCGAGCTCGTTGAGTTTGCAGTAGCACCGACGAGCCTTCGGGGGGCAAGGGTCGCAAATACCATCACAATGCCACCGGGCGAAGCATGCCGACGGAGGCCTCCTAGCAGGAAACTTACATGAACCTGTTACCGTCATGATCATGTTGCTGCTGCTGCTGCTGCTGCTGCTGCTGCTGCTGCTGCTGCTGCTGCTGCTGCTGCTGCTGCTGCTGCTGCAGATGACGAGGGCGATGCTAATGCTGATGATGATTCGGTGGTGAGCGTGATCAAGATGACTCGTATCATGATGACATGTGCGCCCGCCAACCATCTAAACACCTAAACCCTGTAAGTTCTAGCCCCGTTCTTGAAACTTCTAGACTTTAAACATAAACCCTCCGTTGTAATTCCTTT